TGGACAAAAAAATAAATCTCAAATATAAGTTTTCATTGGTGGCACGTTTGATCATTGCATCGTTCACAGACTTGCATCTAGATTTAGTGTGTTTTTTGTTCAGGTCAAATACCTAAGATACTTGACTCATTATCTTTACCCTTACTATAAAGTACAATGGGGATATCAGATGATAACACTATAGTACTGTGCTGAATGATATATTTATGGAAATTACATCCACAAAATACATTTACCTCATATTGCATTATATGTTTGAATCATTTCAATCTCATCTTACTAAGGCATGTTATTGGAGATATAGAGAACACTGATATTTAGATCAACTTGATATTTAGACAACTGCACAGTTTGCAATTCTTTTGCCTCAAAGTTATTCATATTTTTGTATATTTTTATTTAAAATGAGAACACCGTAAGTAAAGTTCACTTTAAAGAACATTTGCATTTTTGCATTTTTACTTATAGAGATAATTCATGGAAAATTTGCCATGCTAAGTTCAAGATTTCAACTGGTAGAAAAACAAATTCTATTAAAATCAACCTCGTGATATTCCCACTATGACCACTAGATGGCAGAGGATCATTCATTTCTCATTTCCACTCCTTAATATAGTTCTTTTCACACGTTTTGCTTTTAGATTTATATTTAGACATTATAAAACCACTATTATAACATTTAAAAAATCTCAAAGTTCAGCATCGTTTTATATTGAAGTGAGAAGTAGTAAGAGTTTTCAACTCATCGGATCTACTTGAATCACACAAATGGACTATTTAGAATTTTTAAAGCGGGAATTTTCAGCGAAAGGTGGCTAGTTTGTATCCTAGTTTACAATCTTCTCAGTTTCTCTCAAATGCCCATTCACAAACATGTTTTTTTTTTTTTTTGACCAATAGAGATACAGAAATGAACTGATATGAATCACTTAGCCCTCTTAGGCAACAAATGTTTAATGACTTCATGACTCACAATGAAGAAGAAAAAGAGAATAGGATAAGCTTACCTATTTCTCTCAGTTCACTTGGACACTGCTGTCCTCATTTTCATGCATTGTTTTTCTTTTCCCCTTCATCTGTTCTGTTCTGCGCCCCAGACGTTTCCCTCCTCTATTCATTTTGGTCAAGTAACAGCAATGCGCCAAAGGCTGAGCAGTTGATATGTACTCAGTTTATAATAAATATATTTTTGTGCTCGTTAAAAATGCTAAAAGCCGTTAAATAAAAAATATTTTTAACAACTACGCTTTTGATTATTAATGTTTATTAAAGAAGATTTTTACAGAATGATTTCGGCAAAATTTTTGCGCCACTGCTGTACTGTTATAAAGATCTGATTTACAAGCAGCAGAATTTCATCATATAATATCAGCATGTGCAGCAAATTCATATTTTTTAATAAAATTGAGCTGTTCTTGCTTCATCTTCTCACTATATGAGACTATACGAGCCGTAGAAGCCTGATGGATCATGTGATACTCATAAAAAAACAAACTTTCTTGTAATATATTTTGTCTAATCAACTGTTCCATTTTTTAAAAAGATGGGATTTTTTGACTATTATTCGATATGTCAGGCTTTTGAGAATACCACTGTATTACCAATTAGGGTTGCAAAAAGGTGGAAAATTTACAGTCAATTTCGGAAATATTCCAGAAGTTTTGGAAACTTTCCAGGATATTTTTGGAATATTCCAGGGATTTTTGGAAAGTTTCCAGGATATTTTTGGAATATTCCAGGGATTTTTGTAAACTTTCCAGGATATTTTTTGGAATATTCCAGGGATTTTTGGAAAGTTTCCGGAAATTTTCCACCCCTTTGCAACCCTATTGCCAATACATGTAACGCAGCAGTATTATTATCACGATACGACGCCAACATGGTCAGCTGCTCAGTTATAAACTCTGGAATGAATTGTTATTTTTCCACGAGGAGCCGAGCGAGAACGAGTGCTTCTGAGAGCCAATCGGAGGCCGCTCTGAAAGAAGGCCAGCGCTCGAGTCGCCCGTACAACCAAAAATATGTTTTTATTGTGAATGTACATCTAACCCCCTCACGAGTGTGAGGACAGAACAGAACGTGGTCGTACAGACTCTCATCGCCGGAGGCCACAGCTGTGTGTGGATCAGTGCATATGGATCGAGTCACAGAAACACCGTTTACAAGTAGTTGGTCATCATAAGAAGCACCATTACAAACCCCTCCATTCCAGGGGTCCTCTAGTTTACAAATGCGTTCGCGAGTAAAAAGGTGACACGGTTACAGTATAGACACATTTAAATTACATGGACAGGGTTTCCGCAGGTCTTACAAAGGTCTGCATTCGCTCTTACACAATCTGAGGGCTTAAAAAGGTCTGGAATCAAGAGCAGAAAGTCTTGAACTCATAAGTGTTGCATGCACTGCAAAAAATGAATCTCTCCCTCAGTATTTCTGTCTTGGTTTCCAGTGCAAATATCTAAACGTGTTTAAATCAAGATACATTTACTGGAGATGCAAAATGAACACATGAAGTAAAAAACAAGAAGTTTCCGTCCACATTTTGGAATATTGCATAAAACACTGGATTGGAAATGCCAAGATGCGCATAAAATCTTAAAATGTGCATCATTTTAAAAACTCGATTGAGGAGGGTCGTTTTTATTCAAAAAAGAAGACATGCACGTTAACTACAATGGAAACGCATTTACCCAATAAATTCTTTAATGTGCAACAAAGAAGTCATGTGACTCTCCCTCTACAGATCATGTGATTGGATATGTAGACTAACTGATCTCATCACACCATCTCATATGTTATTTTAAAGCAATAAGCCCCGTGAAGCCGTGGTTTACAGTGAATTTATAACAGCTAAGGGGCGTTGTTAGGCACGACGCGGAGCTGTTATAAATTCACTGTAAACCACGGCTTCACGGGGCTTATTGCTTTTATATAACATATGAGATGTGTAGCTCCTCAGAAACAGTTGTTGTTGCTACAAAGTGGTTGCCGAGCAACACACAAACGTAAACAAAGGTGTATGTTACTTTGTAGAGTCATTTACAACAGCTTCGAACGCGGCTCAGCCAATCAGAATCAAGGACCGGAACTCTCCGTTTTATAATAATAATTATGAAATGCCTGAGCCAGTCTGTCATCAAAATGATTTGATATAATCACCTCCATAACTCTTAAACAATTCCAAATATCAGGCATCTGAATGCAAGATCACATGACTGTTTGATATTGCGTTTTGCCTGCGCACGCTCTAAGACACGAGTCATTTATTATTTAGGAAAAAAGCCACGTGCGTCCCCTGTTGCAGCAACATTCATTTTTATTACTGATATTTTGCGACAGTTTCCCAGGAAGTGAAGATTTTTTCTTTTGAGCACGTGGGATTGAAACAGTGCTTCACTCGCAAATGTTTAATGCAATATTCTACTTTCCCGCATAAGTTAAATTTGAAACTTTGGATGGAAACAGCTCCTGAGGAACGAAAATTACTTTTCCATTTGAATGCATTTTTCTGAGCCCATCAGCAGGTATTTGTTCATTTTTCATTGCATTTTTGAGAAGTCTGAACAGCGTCAAAATGATCCCATTCACACAGATCCGCGAAAATGACTACAAACGCTGTATTATTCATGCCGGACCAGTAGTTGGCGATATAAACAAAGTTTTTCACCAAGTTTTCACGTGCTTTCGTAGTTTACACAGAGACGTTTTCAAAATCTTCCTCTGAAACCCATCATAAAAGTCCCCAAAACGCTGTTGAATGGCCAAAACACACAAAAAGTTTTCCATTTTTAGTTGAAAATGGTGCCATGTTAACACCCCCTTAATCATAAACTCACTTACTTTTAATAAAGCTTTTAGAAAACAAGACTTCTTATTTTGCCACTTTCAGTGTTGGGGAAAGTTACTTTTAAAAGTTATGCATTGCAATACTGCGTAGCTCCATAAAAAGTAACAAATTGCGTTACTTAGTTACTTTTAATGGAAAGTAATCCATTGTTACTTTTGCGTTACTTTTTGTCAACTGCACTGGACTTGTTTACTTGTTCTTAACAACAAAACCCAAAAGTTATATTTTTTGGCAACTGTAAAGGCTCTTTCACACCAAAAGTGAGATGAATAAACCTAAACAATTACTCGACACATGGACAGGAGAGCCGTCAGTAACTTGCGTTACTTATTTGAAAAAGTAACTCAGATATTTTCCCGTAAATTTAAAAGTAATGTGTTACTTTACTAGTTACCTGAAAAGGTATTTGATTACGTAACTTGTGTTACTTGCAATGCATTACCCCCAACACTGGTCACTTTGCTTCTCCAGTAAATGTAACTTGCTTTCAGAATCTTGAGACATTTGCACTGGAAAACAAGAGACAATATTGAGGAAGAAGGGCCGTGTTTGCAGTGTGATCAGAAGATACAGTAACAGTTATTGACATATTCTAGTGTTTCTGAGCACAGATATTCAAAACATAAGCTGTTTTTGTTTTGTATAGTGAATGAAAAAGTAATAGAGATCTTTTGGAAGTGGTGCTTTTTCAAACTCTGAAGTATTGCTGATGGATTTACATTCAGGGAGCATCCTGATGCATCGTGTTCCATTCGATTTATTTCCTTGACCTTGGTAAGAGCCGCAGGAACCCAGTTAGAATATTGCAGAGAAGAGAAAGGCTAGCGTCGGGCAGCCGCAGACGGCATGGGTCGGTTATTACAGCGCTCACGTGACTAGCACCGGTAAGATACGACAGACTGAGCCAGAGCGAGAACCGGTAGGTTTGAGAATCGAAAACCAATTCCAATTCCAGAATCGGATACTTGACGTAAAATTTAAATTTCAATTCCACCTATTAATTCCTGTGTGTGCATCTTTTATTTTTAGCTGGCGAAAAGGGGCTTTTAAAAAATGTATTCATTCATTCAAAAGATTCATTCAAAAACACTGATCCGTCCAGTAATGAAACGAGTCAATCTTGAGTGAGTCATTGAATCATTCCATGCATACATTCCATGAGATTTTGTTTAGTTGTCTAATATGTTTTCTCCAGAATTGTGACAGAACTACAACCTCCATTAAAAAATAAAAAAGTCTAAATGTATCCAGAATCGGCTCTATTTTGCACACAAACAGCTCATAATCGATTTGTGTTTATGGTATTCAGCAGGCAATTAAATGTTTTAAAAAGAGATACAGAATAATAAATAAGTTTGATATCTAAATCGTCGACTTGGAATTATAAGGTTCTATCTGACATGTTTCACACATTCCTATTCTGTGACAACTTATTTACATTATGTGATGTTTCTTTTGTAAGCTGTGTAGATGTTGAGCCTTTGTAAAGAAAATATGGAAGTCTATGGAACGCCACATCTTTGAATCTCAGTATCTCAAAACTGCTCAGAATGCAGACAGAACCTTATAACTGCAAGGCAGCGAAATGTTTGACTTGATTTTTTTAACCACGTTGGAATCGAAACTGGGAATCGGTGAGCAGAATTGGAATTGGAATCAAACAATACCCAACCCTAGTGATGTGTAATGCGAGCGTATGATGCGGTGCGTGCTGCTCTTTGGGCGTGGCTGCTGCGGTCTGTCCGAGTGTCCGTCAGTGCAGGACGATCTGGACGCTGATGTGCAGAGCGTCTCCTCGCTGCCCGCTGAGGTAGTCTGTGTCGGGCCGCTCTGGGCTGCCGGTCTGCGGCACGCTGCGGATTCGTAAATAATACGCTCCCGGCTGGAGAGCTCTCTTCTTGGATATGTGCAGGTAGCTGACGCCGTCCTTCTGGTTCATGCGGAACAGACCGTCGTCGTTGCCGTAGTCGATAGCGTAGCGCACGTGGTTAGCGAGCGTGGACAGCGCCGGCACGAAGTCGATGATGTGGTCTTTGCTCTTCAGTGTGCTGATGTTCAGACGCAGCTGCAGCGTATCATCCACGTCTACACTGGCCAGACTGACCCAGTCCAGATCGTTCTGCACACACACAGTAATTATATTACAGTTACTATCCATAAAACAGCTTGTTACTTCGATGACTGATTTAAAGTCCAACAATGCAATAATTCCTAGATTTATTTTCATAATTTTCACAACTTGCACAGACACGTGAAGTCCCAGTGCAGCAGGGAAGCTTGGAATATGAAAAAGCTTACAATCAGCGGCTGGAAATATTGCAATTAGCCTACATTGATTTTGTCAGGAGAACAGATGATCTGAACACTGATGTGTAAGTCGTGGCATTACTTTACTCTGATCCTGATATAAATTGTATAAAATCTTTTTAGAGAATGAAACACTTTCTTATGAACCTATATGATTTCTTTTGATAAAATACATCATGGAATATAATCGTGTACGGATATAACAGAGAAATTATAGCTATAATTAGCTTCAAGCTATACACATGACAATTACTAATACAACACTTTAACTTAAACGTTACTTTATAAAACAGATAGTTGCGGTCCTTGATTCTGATTGGCTGAGCCGCGTTCAAAGCTGTTGTAAATGACTCTACAAAGTAACATACACCTTTGTTTACGTTTGTCTGTTGCTCGGCAACCACTTTGTAGCAACCACAACTGTTTCTGAGGAGCTACATTGTTTGGTGGAAGAATACTGTTTTTATTATCATTACACTTTATT